TGTGTGTGTGTGTGTGTGTGTGTGTGTGTGTGTGTGTGTGTGTGTGTTGCCCTCGCCCCCAGCATGCTGTAGAAAAGGCTGGTAGGTGCCGGGCATGGCGGGGAGGGAGCAGAGCACAGTGTGCTCTCCCCTGCTTAACACTGGGTCTGTGAGCCTCCTGCCTCCAGACGCAGACTCCACCCTCCCCCACCTGAGTTCTCGCCTGCCAGTTAATTCTCCTAATTGCCTTCTCTGCCCAGCACAGCTCTAATTGTGTAGAAATGACCCCGCATGGTTGGTCCCCTACCAGAAATCTAGCTTGCCTTGAAGATGCTTCCATCTCGGCATCCGGGCCTTCAGGGTTAAATACCCACAGGTGGGCTGATGCGCTCTCTTTACAGAGGGTCTGGGGCGAAGTGAAATCAAATGGCCTCTGTCTGCTTCAAGGAGGCAAGAGCTCTCAGTCCTGGGAGAATGATAATAACAGCGCAGGGCGCAGATGCTTCATATTTCAGCAACAACGTCACCTCATTTGACTGTCTCAACAGCTCCGGAACTTGGGAAGGACAGGAATCGTTATCCTCACTGTACCCATGGGGGAAATGGCTCACAAAAGGGTTAAGTCAGGAAACTGCCACCTTCCTGAATACAGTGTAAAATCAGGTGCCAGCAGGTCCCCTGCTGGAAGGGCAGCCTCCACGGGTCTCCCTGCCAGGGGCTCTCAGCCTGTTGAGCGGGTAGAAACCTGAGCTGCTGCCCGCACCCGGCTTCAGCCTCTATCCTCGCCTTACTTTTCACAGCCGAGGGCTGTGGTTCTCACACTTGAGCCTGAGTCAGGACCCCTGGGGGCTTGTGAAAGTGCAGATCGGTGAGCCTCACCACCTGCCCAAAGTTTCTGCTTCGGGAGGACTGGGGCGGGGCTCAAGAATTTGTACTTCTGACAAGTTCCCTAGTGAAGCCAAAGCTTCTGGTCTGGGGAATCCCACTCTGAGAACCACTGAATGGCCAGTGAAAGACGAAACCTTTAAAGGAGAACCTCACTCATGACTCCAGAATAAGAAAAGGGAGAAAGAGAATAGTTGGAATTTGGCCGAAAAGCTGGCAGGGGCCAGTCCGGTAACTGAAAGGGGCAACAGAGCTGATGTGATTTGAGGGGGCAGTTTGAGAACATGCTAGCTGCAGAGGCATGCCCTATCTAAAGGCATTCAGAGTCACATTTTATGAGCTCTGCAGGAGAAGCCGAATATGTCTGTGGCTGTGTGGGGCCCACAAGCCACCGGGCTTGTCCCCTAGATGGATGGTTTGGTTTACAGTGTTCTGATGGCTCACCAGGGTGCACAGGCCCCCCTGATTTTCAGTCTGCCGTTGTTGGTTCTGTGGTCAGTGTCCCCCTGGAGCTCACAGCTAGACGTGCACGATCACAGGACTCGAAGAGGGTGAGGCAGCTCTCTCCCGTCCACCTGAGGCCACCACCTGAGCTCTCCGCTCTGAGGACAGGACCACCCCAACTCCCGACCTCCTCCCCGCTCACTGGCTCCCCCTGTGTCCCAGACTTCCTTGCAGGGATCCCCGTGACCAATGAGCGGCTGGATCTCATGAGGCTCCGCTATAGCGACAGCACAGGCAGGGTCAGCTTCCCCAGCCTGGTCTGCGTCCTGATGCGGCTTGAAGCCATGACAGGTGTCATCCCGGGGCCATCCTGGAGACCTTCACAAAGGACACAGGAGGGGACCAGGAATGCGCTCCAGCCCCAGGCCTGGGCTCGTCCCAAGGGACAGAGCCAACGTTAGCCTGTGTGATGGTGTAGTTGCCTGGAGTCCCCAACCTCCCTTCTGCACCCTTTTCTCCCCAGGACATTCCCCCACCCCAGATCGCTCATTTCCTCATCACCCTACTAGCACCTCTCTCAGGAACCAGGTTAAATCGCTGCGGCCCCTCTCCAGATTGTGTTTATGGTTTAAACCTACTCTTTAGTCATGCAACGAAGGGTTTGATCCGTGCTGAAGGATTGCACACACAGCGAGTAGGTGGGAGCAGTAGGTCCCCCCCACCAAGGCCTCAGAAATCCAGCTATGTAGGCTAGAGGTTTTGACACTTTTTAGCAGCACACCCCTTTGTTTTAAATGACATTTCACGTGAAACCCCAAGCCACAATATAGCTCTAAATGGAGCTGTTGTGGTTGAGGTCGAAGTGGGAACTGTCCTACGCTCACATCCTTGCACCGCCCCTGCCATGTGGCACTAACCCCACAGCTCTGAGGCAGGCAATTAACAAGGTGGAGAGAGCAGAATGCTGGGAGGGTAAAGGAGAAGCCAGAGGCGCAGTCTTGCTCCAGAGAATTCACAGCTGGACGAGGGAGGTGCCCCGAGATACCTGCTAAAACAAGCCCCGCATCCCCACAGCCGAGTGTGGAGAGTACAAAGTGTAAGGAAGCTGCAGGGGGCAGGGCAGTCAGGGGGCTGTTCTGAGGGCTGAACCTGAGCCACGGGTGTCGAGTTTGGCTGGAAAGAGAAATGGAGGGGAGGCCGAGCACACTCCAGTGCTTCCACAGAATCACCACGCTGGCTTTCATCGCACGTGGGCCCAGGCCTGTCCTGATTCTTCTCCTCCTCTTTACCCCAGAAGCGTTCCAGAACTTCTCCAAGGACGGAAAAGGACTCTCCCTGACAGAAATGGAGGTGAGGTACCTTCCCGTCACAGAGACAGGGCACAACCCCAGGCCACCTCCCCTCACCTGATTCCAGGGGGCATTTCTCTCCCTGAGGTTATTGAACAGTCTGTCAGAGGCCAGCCAAGCTGCCGGCCCCCCGCCTCCAATTACTGCCTTTATATATTGCTGGCTGCCAAGCCTGCTTTAGGATCCTGGCAGACAGATTTTATTTTTTCCAATCGCTTAATAAAGCAGAGGATTGTGTGGGACTCATAAATCCAGGAGGGAACTAAGGAACACCTGTGGAGCTCACTGTTGTTTTTAATTTATTTATTTTATTTATTTATTTTTGGCTGCGTTGGGTCTTCGTTGCGGTGCGTCGGCTTCTCATTGCGGTGGCTTCTCTTGCTGCAGAGCACGGGCTGTAGGCGTGCGGGCTCAGTAGTTGTGGCTTGCGGGTTCTAGAGCGCAGGCTCAGTAGTTGTGGCGCACAGGCTTAGTTGCTCCGCAGCATGTGGGATCTTCCTGGATCAGGGCTCGAACCCGTGTCCCCTGCATTGGCAGGTGGATTCCTAACCACTGTGCCACCAGGGAAGCCCCATGAGCTCACTGTACATTAAACTTACTCCCAGTGAGTTTTTGAAAGAGCCTCCTGACCCAGCCAGCTGGTTGACCTCAGCTGTCCCTCTCAGTGCCCGGCTATTCAGAGAGCAGCGGAAGATATGCTGTAATAGAGGGCCGAGACCTCCTGCTTGGGTTGGAATTAGCTGGAAAAGGTTGATGAGACTAGACTGAGATCTTTCAAGGGAAGAGGGTACCATTTGCCCTGCTCTGTGTTAAGCTAACTAGTTTAAAGTTGTGTTGTAACAAGGATGCTTATTTCTCACTGGATGAACCTGGTGATGTACAACTGAAGCCAGGAGGAGAGCAGACCCCAGAGCCCAGATAAGATGACATAGCTTTAGAATCATTTCCTCCCAGGGGCACAATGCATCTTCCCCTCCAGGAACTGCACACGAGACTCTCTCCCTGGGGGCAGCCTCCCCAGGGATTACAGAGCCCTTCTCTATGTGAGCCAAAGCTCAGCTGCTTGGCCCATGAGTTTCAAGGCCAATGCTGCAGATTTCATCCAAGTCATGTAGAACAGGGGGCATCCATGAAAGAGTGTGGCCTGGAGTTTATGAGGGAGGGATTTAGAATTCTTTTTAAAATTTCTTTTTATTGAGATATAATTGATATTTAACACTGTGTTCATTTTAGGCATACAACATAAGGCTTTGATGTATGTATGTATTGTGAAACGATTACCGTGATAAGTTTGGTTATCACCTCACATAGTTACAATTTTTTTTCTTGTGATGAGAACTTTTACAATCTACTCTCTTAGCATCTTTCAAATCGACAACACAGTATATTCACCATGCTGTATGTTAACCACCCCAAAACCTCTGTATCTTATAACTGAAGGTTTGCACCTTTGGACCACCTTCACCCATTTTGACCAACCCCCTTACCTCCCACCAGTGGCAACCACTTTGTTCTCTGTATCTATGAATTCAGTTGTGGTTTTTTATTAGATTCCACATGTAAGTGAAATCGTACAGTATTTGTCTCTCTCTGACTTATTTCACTTAGCATAATACCCTCAGGGTTCATCCATGTTGTCACTAATGGCAGGATTTTCTTCTTTTTTATGGCTGAATAATATTCTGTTGTATGTATATATGTATACCACATTTTCTTTATCCATTCGTCTATTGATGGACATGTATCAATAGGTTGTTTCTATGTCTTGGTTACTGTAAAGAATGCGGCAATGAACAGGAAGGTGTCTGTATCTTTCCGAGTTAGTGTTTTTATTTTCTTTGGATAAATACCCAGAAGTAGAATTGTTGGATCATATGATAGTTCTATTATTAATTTTTTTTCAATTAAGTGACCATTTATTGAATAACACCTATATGAGAGGCACTGTGCTGGGCTCCAGGGATACAGAGATAAATGAAATCCGCGTGGTTTCTGCCCTCAGTTCCTCTCTGTCTAGTGGGAGAGATAGTTCTGTAATAGGAAACTACACTCTAATATACAAGATGCAATGAAAGAGGCTTGGGTGCTCTATGGACACTAAGGGGTGTTCGGATGAGTTCAGCTTTGGATATGGTGATGTGCTTGTGGGACACCCATATGGAGATCTCCCATAGACAGCTGAACATACAGGTCTTTAGGGACATCAAACTCGGTCATTGTCCTGGAGGGTCTTGCTATGGAGTGAAAGAGACAGAAATGCAAATACTGAATATAATAGATCAATTGCAATACTCTGTAGTGAAAGCTAACACAGAAGTTCGCACAGAGATGATGGTACAACTAAGTTGGCCTGGAAGTTGTGATGTCTCTCTAGGAGACAGCCTAGGAACTGAGTCTTGAATGATTAGGAGTTGCTGTCCGGTGTTGTGGGCTCTTGATGAGGTCGTCATTCACATGGAGTACTTTGGATGGACTGAGCGAGACTTCAAGGCAGAGGGACATCACCAGCTGGGCAGTCAGAGGACAGTGTGCAGGCAGCTGGTCATGGGAGGCCCTCCTCTGAGGGCAAGACCCACAGCTCACAGTCTTCCTTGACACAAGTAAAAGTTGGCATGCTGTGCCCATTCCAGTGGTGGGTGTGTCCGATGGTACTAGGAGCTGGTTCAGTGTCCTCTGGAGAGCAGATACCCAGAGCCTATTACAGATTTTTTAAGGAAACTCCATACAGTTTGCCATAATGGCTGCACCAATTTACTTTCCCACCAACAGTGCACAAAGGTTCCCTTTCTCCACCTCCTCACCAACACTTGTCTTTTTGATGATACTCATTCTACCGGGTGTGAGGTGATACTTCATTGTGGTTTTGATTTGCATTTCCCTGATGATTAGTGATGTTGAGCATCTTTTCATGTGCCTGTTGGCCATCTGTATGTCTTCTTTGGGAAAATGTCTATTCAGATCCTCTGCCCATTTTTAAATCAGATTTGGATTTTTTTCTATTGAGTCATATGAGTTCTTTATATATTTTGGATATTAACCCCTTATCAGATATCTTTATTTCCTTCAGTGTTTCATTCTTTTCCCAACCTTGCCCTTTGCCCTTACTGTCTGCCCAGCCCTGGGTTAGTTACCTCATTCTTGATCCTTCATGTCTTGGCCCCATTGGGTTTCCATGTTATTTATTCGTGTAAACCACTTCCCCCGTCATAACATTCAAAACACTGTTTTGTTGCTGTGGCTCACTCCTTCCTTTTTTTTGTAGAGCCTTATTGAAATATAATTCACACAGCATACAGTTTACCCATTTAACGTATACAGCTCAGTGGTTTTCAGCATAGTCACAGAGCTTGGCGACCATCACTACAATGTAAGTTTAGAACATTTTTCGTCACCACAAAAAGAAACTCCATGCTCATTAGCAGTTAAGTCCTATTTTTGCCTCATCCCTTTAGTCCTAGGTGACCACTAATCTACTTTTGAATCTATAGATTTGCCTATTCTGGACATTTTATGTCATTGGAATCATGCAATATGTGGTCTTTTGTGACTGACTTCTTTCACTTAACATAATATTTTCAAGGTTCATCCAGGTGGTAGCATGTATTAGTACTTCATTCCTTTTTAGTGCCCAATAATATTTTCATCTTGTAGGTATACCATATTTTATTCATCCATTCATCGGTTGACGGGCACTTAGGTAGATTCTACTTTTTGACTGTTGTAGATAATCCTGCTATGAATGTTTGTGTACAAGTTTTTGCATGGATGTATGTTTTCATTTCATTTGTATACTTAGAAATGGAATTGCTGGATCATGTGGTGACTTGATGTATAACATTTTGAGCAACTGCCAGACTGTTTTCCAAAGCAGCTACACCACTTTACATTCCTACCAGCAGTAAATGAGAGTTCCAATTTGTCCACATTATCGGCAACACTTTTTTAATTAAAGTATACTTGATTTACAATACTGTGTTAGTTTCAGGTGTACAGCATAGTGATTCAGTATTTTTGCAGATTATATTCCATTATAGGTTATTACAAGATAATGGGTATAATTCCTTGTACTATACAGTGTATCCTTGTTGCTTATCTATTTTGTATATAGTAGTTTTTACCTGTTAATCCCATACCCCTAATTTGTCCCTCCCCACTTCCTGCTTCCCTTTGATAACCACAAGTTTGTAACCACAGACTCTATGTCTGTGAGTCTGTTTCTGTGTTGCATATACATACATTTATATTATTTTTTAGATTTCACATATAAGCAATATATAGTGTTTGTCTTTCTCTGTCTGACTTATTTCAGTAAGCATAATATTCTCTAGGTCCATCCACATGGCTTCAAATGGCAGAATTCCCTTCTTTTTTATGGCTGAGTAATATTCCATTATATCTATACCACACCTTCTTAAGCCAGTCGTCTGTTGATGGGTACTTAGATTGCTTCCATGTCTCAGCTATTGTAAATAGTGCTGCTATGAACATTGTACTGCATGAATATTTTTGAGTTAGAGTTTTCATTTTTTCCAGATATATACCCAGGAGTGGAATTTCTAGAGCATATGATAGTTCTATCTTCAGTTTTTTGAGGAACCTCCATACTGTTCTCCATAGTGGCTGTACAATTTACATTCCCACAAACAGTGTATAAGGGTTCCCTTTTCTCCACATCCTCTCCAACATTTGTTATTTGTAGACTTTTCCATGATAGCCATTATGACAGGTGTGAGGTGATACCTCATTGTGGTTTTGATTTGCATTTCTCTAATAATTAGCAATGTTGAGTGTCTTTTCATGTGCCTATTTGTCATCTGTATGTCTTGTTTAGAAAAATATCTATTGAAGTCTTCTGCCTGTTTTTTATATTGAGTTGTATGAGCTGTTTGTATATTTTGGATATTAACCGCTTGTCATTTGCATCATTTGCAAATATTTTTTCCATTCCATAGGTTATCTTTTCATTTTCTTTACTGTGCAAAAGCATTTATTTTTGCTTTT